TCAATTACTTTATCATATACAGGGAACAAAAGGTCAATATGCCGGTTGTTTTGATCAGGCATGCTCGTCAGACACTGCAGCATTGGGTGTTGTTGCAAATAAATCATACCAGTCCAGAATATCAAGACATAAGTTTTATTATTGCCTTTCACATACCCAACGAGCTCGTTTTCTTCCATCGAATACATGAACGAGAATGACACCGTTAACCCTCGCCGGACCTATTGGTTTTCTACATACGCGCCGGCCGAGGGGGGGGGGGCGGGTACGAACCCCCCCCCCCCTCGCCGTTTCGCCCCTGGTGGAGCTAGCGCGTCGCGGAAAAAACGAGCGTGTGCGCCGTTGCGAGACGCAGAGATTGGTACCCGATTTTAATCCTCGCCCATGTAGGGGGGGTTGGTGCAACCCCCCCCCCCCTGAGGCTTTTCGGAAATAGTGCAAAAACGGCGGCGCGCAGCGCCGCCAAATTTTGGGTACCTTATGGGGCAAACCTTGCGCATCTTTTGATAAAAACAATTTGACCGGGTCATGTCAGGTCACGGAGTTATGACGTCACAAAGGGAACAGCCTCCGGCCGGATTTTCACAAACTGAGTGCCAACGCCCGAGGTTTCCTGCCGGTGGTACGGACATCGGTTGATGGATCGTGATGAAACTTCCCATGCATGTTGGGGCAAGTATTGGCTATCATATGGTATAAGAAACTTGACCGGGTCAGGTCAGGTCACGGAGCTATGACGTCACAAGAGGAACAGCGTCCGGTACTATTTTTGAAAAGCGCCCGAACCACTATTTTGCTAATTCTTGTCACCTCAATGGGAATATGCAGCAATATTAGCTTCTATAGGGAGCAAATGGACCTCCCAAATCCAAAAATACAATCAGATTTCAAAAATTTAAATTTTTATTTTTCGAATTTCTGCCGCCGACTGTGACCTTGCTGACTTCCGGCGCTCCTAACGCGCCATTTTTAGAGCTAGGGAAACGAAATACATACCAAACGAGAGAGAATTGATCAAGGAACACGATAGTGAAGGTTTCAAGTCGATATCTCCCACCGTTTTGCCGCAATCGCCGCGGAAAGTTGAAAAAAGTATATTTTTCCGAAAATTTGACCTTTGACCGGTCAAAAGTAGGTCAAATGTTGACCTAGGACCAAAAAATATACCACCAATCGCGAGATCTCGGCGAGAGCAATCCGTTGGTCTTTTCCGCTAAGCTCTACGACGCTCCGTTTTCAAACGCCAAGGGGGGGTCGCACCAACCCCCCCCCCTGCATGGGCGAAGGTGGCAGATCGCCGTTTACGGGCGAGGGTTAAGGTCCTAGGTCAATCGGTGACCTCTGAGGTCAGGTCAAGTGCCCCAGGGTACGGTTCAGTTTTTGGTGAATAACTTCGCAAAAAACGGCCGCAGAGCCGCGATTTTGGCAGCATCGTGTTCGCCTCGCTCAGGCGCGTCGAATGATATACTTTTTGTTCGGGTCAGGTCAACTTGGGGTGTTGACCTCAGGTCAAGGTCAGGTCAGCACCCCCAGGTCACGAAGTTGGTCGAAAGAGGTCATGTCGCATATCATTCGATTCAGCAGGTCTTCCTACGTCCATTGGTGGCTTTCTCGACTCGCTAGCTCAATTTGATCGGGAGTTATTGACGAAAAACTAATATGACCTTGATGACGTCATAAATGACGTCACGGAAGGTCAACATTGCAAAAGTGACGCATCTAACTTTGCAAGGAGTGCATCAAATCACGATTCTGTGTGCTTGATATAGTTGGAGATCGTTCCCGGCGCCAGAATAGCAGTTTTCATTTTCCCCATTGACTTATAATGGTGAGGTCACGAAAATGACCTGACCTCATATGACCTTTAGGAAAAATCCGAGATATACAAGTTGTGAGACTCATAATGGATACTAGAACCTGCAAGTTTCATTTCCCTGTGACATCTCCTCTGGCAGTGAGGGCGTTGCGAAGTTGCGACATCTGAAGACCGTGCAGAGGTTCACTTATGACGTCATAGGTCAGTGACCTGACCTGACCCAAAAATGCGGTTGGTGTCAAAAGATGCGGCTTGGATCAAAGGTCAGGTACGCCAAGTTTCAGCTCTCTATCGCCAGCGTGTTCGGAGCTATCGCGAAAAAAACCCTATGGGGGGGCGGCACCCGCCCCCCCCCCCCTCGGCCGGCGAGGGCTAACCCGCGCCGGGCCGGCGCGGTGCTCTGAGATTCCGCGCCGGGCCGGGGGGGGGGTGTCTGAACACCCCCCTTCTAACTCGGCTTCTGGGCCACGTAGCGAGTAGCGACACGCGGTAAGCGGCAATCGAAAGAACGTCCAAAATAGGGACGAAAACACTTCGGTCATTTCTTGGGTCAGGTCAAAGGTCAGGTCACCAGAGGTCACCAAAGGTAATATGTTGACTATTTCAGCATTTTGGAAACTGCCAACGGCTATCTCGGGAACCAATAGAGCTACAGCGCCGCAGAAAAGTGCATTCGATAGCCCTTTTACAGACCTTTCTGAGTAATGTTCTCAGATTTGACCTCAGGTCAACAGTTTAGCCTCCAGAGGGCAAAAACTCCAAAAATAGCCGTTTTTACGAAAAGCGTTTTTTCTGCAATAACTTTTGACTCGAAAGAGCCATGACATTTCTGTTGCCAGCATCGTGTTCCTCTTGTCGAGACGCGTCGAATGAACTATAATTTGACCTTGAAAGGTCAACTTGAAAATTTGACCTCAGGTCAAGGTCATGACCTGACCGGAAAAGGTCATGTTGCATATCAGTCGATCCGCAACGTCGAGCCGAACACATCTAAGGCGTTTTCAGCGCTCTAGCACGCCTCTATCAGAAGTTATTAGCGAAAAACTGTTAGATTCTGTTCGTGACCTGAGATGACCTCTGGGACATAACGAGGGGTCACAGTTGCCATTTTCCGGTTCAGTGTGTCAATCTTACCTACATCTCGATGTTTGAGAGTGTCTAGAGTAGCGTTCGTGCAAAACAGACGCAAAATTGACCTGAACTTAGGTCACCGATATCAAAATTCCGAGATAAACATTTTGTAGATAATGTTGCTCTCATCAATCGCTGAAAGTTTCAAGGCAATCGATCAATTGGTGTAGCTATGACGAGCATTCTTATTTTTTCTGAGGTGAGGTCACTTGGCGTGACCTGGTGACCTGACCTAAGGCGACCTGGGTCTGAAATTTTCACAACATGTGCGGAACACATGCACGAACAGGTGTGTCAAAAACGGCGGCGCTCCGCGCCGCCGTTTTTGAGATATCTGCGAAAAACCGCAGGGGGGGTGTTCAAACACCCCCCCGGCCCGGCGCGGGTTAAAAATGTACTTTCTAGGTACCTGAATCAAATCAAGATTAAACCGAATTCAAAGGTGCTCTTAATCATATACAATACCTATCATCTCTAACGGAATTAATATCATAATTTAATTATGCAACAATCGATCATTGAAAGCTCCGACATACCTAGGGCTACGATATTGCATAGAAAATTGTTGCAAAGTTTATGCCGCTCGACATTCAAAGTGTCACAGCCCGCACTAAATTCGTCTCACAGATGAACAAGTAATTCAGCAGCAGCAGCCTATAACGTATGATCGGTGAAACTGTTTATATACGCATCTTTCATTGCTATATGTTGCAGAATGCTATGGCATAATACATTCCAAGATCACGGCGAGGGAGGTGGAAACCATGAGACAGTGCTGCCACCTTCTCTGGGTGAGCTCGGGTCCCTCGCCGGGGTCCAACCGACAGCGTGCTCAGTGCTCACAGACGGTGCCCTTCCCTTGGACCCCTTGTCCCAAGTTCCTATTCAGTGTGCTCCCATGGGCAGAGTTTGTTGCACTCCTACTAGATGCACAAGCTGTGCAGTATTTCCACGGGCGAAATTTGGGCATTTCATCCCGCGACTTGGTTGGCAGTGCGGACGGCGCGATGGTCGGACATCCACCCCGACACAACCAGTTTCGTTACCCCATGTAGACATATGTCTCCCGACTCTGACCCCTGGTCCTTTGAACACTCATACCCTTACCTGACTAGCCAGCGCGCGCGTGCCGAGCTGGGCGAGCCAATAAAAACGTCCCGGTGGCAGCTATCACGGAGCTGGTGCCGTCTAGTCCGGTGGTGGCCGGTCCGCCGTCCCAAACGGCGCGCGCGCCGCCGCTGCTGGCGCCGGCCTATCCGCCGGTGCGCCAACGGCGTCGCACGCCCTTATCGCGCCGAGAGCCTTTTCGTGTTCCTCAAGAAATGGTGCTTTTACGCGGCGGTGATAGCGAAGGCAAATTTTGATGTTTTCTGCGCGCATGGGACGGGCTTGTCGTGCGCGAACACTTTACGCCGCCGGCCAGCCGCTTTTGGCGTCTGTGGGCTACACACGATTTCAGACACGATTTACTGAGATGAGACAATCTTATTTTACAACCGGGGATAGCCTATCTCTGTTTTAAGCTCGCTGTATAGAAGCGAGGCTGATTTGTTCCTAAATGGAAGCCTGTGACGCAGGTTACGTAGCATTTTCCAGGCTAATTTGATAAAATAGATGTTATTTTTACAGCAAAGCGCTGGCTTTATATATCTTAAATCATTTCAGCCGTTATTTAAAACCATTTAAGCCGTTTTGTACGTTTTACATCGCAGTTGATATTTCCCTTTATCCATGCTCGGTAAACGTCGTTTATAGTTGTTTTCTTTTACTTCGTTCATTTATTTTTGAAAATGTTTTGCTAATAGCAATGGATGACAAACACTGCAATGAGTAATGACGCCGGTCATTTAACTTGACTTCTCCCAAGCTCCCCCTAAATGAGATAGCGTCATTGACACCGTGTTATCTGTGCAGTGGAAGTGTCTCCGACTCCGATACGACAACGTGTCCCCGATTTCCGGAATTCAGCGTCCTTGCCATTAATAATTGTTCAGCCACGTCCCGCTGTGTCCTGTTCGCACGATACACTGCCGTGAACGATTTCAAACACAAGTCACCATGCTTACACCAAATGTATCGGTAAAGAGCGATACGGTCCGAGCCGGCATATCCCGATGTATTCGGAGTAAATTCCAGAACAACAACAGACAACGAAGTGATATACCTTGTATGTGGTCCATCACACACCCAACACTGGCGCACAGAATACCGTCTAAGATCGGCGCCGATCGGCGACCACCGACATCACACCGAGACTATGGCGCGCTGGGGAGGGTGCGCTGTCCTGGAGCGCTGACCAGGGCGCCGCGGCCGGCCCGCGCACCCAACGGCCAGCTCGGAGGCGTCGCTACCGGCGGTAGCAGTCCGCGCCGATGGCCTGGCTCGGACGCGCGACTCCCCGTGAGCCGGGCTGTTCATAGGAAAACGGAGGGCCCGGGTAAGCGGCGGCGGTGGAGAACTTGGCGCACCCGCCGGGGCGTGTTCTCAGCGGCGAGGGGCGCGACCCTGAACCGATCTGGTGCCCGCCTGAGCGCGCCCTCGGCGCCCCTCGCCGGCGCTGGCGGGCGCGCCTCACCGTCGCGCGGCCGTCCTCCCTCGCCGCCGCCCTCGCCGGGATTCGCGCGTCCCCTCGCGGCGGACCGTGACAGCGCCGCCAGGTGGCCACCTCTGCAACTCGTGTTTACCCGGGGGCCGCCAGGGGTCCGCTCGAGCCGCCCGCGAGCACGGAGACACACTGAAGGGGCGCGCGGACGGCGGGTCGGCGCCGGGCGGCCGGCGCGGGTCGCTGTGGCCAACTGGCGGTCCGGGGGACGTCAGCCGGGCGGGCAGACGTCGGAGACGACAGCCAGTGCACGGCTGATGTACCGCTGACACAGCCTACCCTCGGGTAGCGGACGCAGCCGGTAACTCCGCCGTCCGAACCGGCCGCTGGAGAGCACCGGGCCTGCACAGCTCTGACACCACGCGCGCGACGACCGTACAGCAAACAAACAACTACCGACTAAAATAGTAGCTCCGAAGCGACACACATTACCGGCGAGCACGGGCGACACTCAGAGAAGCCACCTGTAAAATAGAGTAAATATGTATGTGTGTGCTGGGGAGTGGGAGCGCCTGGCTCTGCAGCCGGCGGGTGGCCTTTCGCCGGCCGCCACCACCAGCTCAGCCCTTTTTGGCCGCCACCGGCAGCCGCTCGCCCTGAAGATACGGATTGTCCCTCTGAAAGTGCAAGGGAGCTGCGTCAGTTTGGTTTAATAGTCGACACTCCGTACAGTGTACGAAGAGTGATGAGGACATGATTGAAGAGGCATTGAGAAGATCAGATGGTCCTCTCTTTGACTGAAAGCATTTTCATAACGTTTTAGCTCAGGATTCATTGTACATATTTTGTTTCAAAACAAAAGAAACGTTTAAAACAATATGACAGTTCGAAGGAATAAGCGGCACGCCGGCAGTAGGCATCCCACAGCTCCGCTTACCTTGGATGGGTGGAATTTCTTGGCCACAACCTTGGACTTTTCCGGGTCCATCATGAGGCTGTTCAGCGCCGATTCGTCCAGTCCCTTGTTTGTTATCGATCTGTCAGACATAGGCGATAGTAAACGGTCAGATAAATGGATGTCGGCGCCACAATAAAAATGCCGCGGTAAGGATGGACACACTTGGCACACAAGACGATCCGTGAAACTCATTAACCCTATTAGTGGCAGGGGGGGTTGTTTTCATCCACCCCTCAGGTTTTTCGGGAATATCTCCGAAACCGCTGAAGCTACGATGCTGAAATTTTCTGACTTTTCCTAAAACTAAATTGGGCACATTCCCTGAAAGTTTCAAGTTCATAACTTTACCAAGGGCGGCTCCAGAGCACTGGGAATTGGGGGGTCCTATTCGTGAAGCGAGTCATTTGGGCGATGATCACGATGCTGATGTATTATAACTGTATGCACCAGTTTTATCATGTGATAACATATACAAAGTTATTGTGCATCCTCTTTTGACACGTTTTTGCTATAATAGGCGGATCCAGGCGTCCAAAAAGGGGGGTTATGTTTTACCTCCCAACATAGGTGCCCTGACACCGCCTATGCATGACCAATACAATTGTAGTCGTTCTCTCATAAGAAAATTGTAACATAACAAGACCATTACCACCCTTTTTAGAAACAGTACCAACAAAAACCTTATTTGCTATACTTTTTGTGTACCCCCAATCTCAATGATCTGTATCCGCCTATGATTTTTGAAAATGCATATTTTTAGGATCCATGTGAATTCCTGGTTCATTCTTTATCGATCGGCAAAAGTTGCGTTAAGATTGGTTCAGAAACCTGGCCGTGATAAGCAGTCTAAAATGTATCTGCAATTTGCCCGTTTTTACCCCCCTCAACCCCCCTTTTGACATTTTCTTAATTTTTTTTTTTAGAAATGTAGATCACGTTGAGCGAAGTCGAATGCCGTTTGAATTTTGAAAATCGGCCCGTTAGATCTCGAGATATCAAGGGGGGGTCGTAAACAGCCCCCCCTGCCACTAATAGGGGTAGCCAGGAGCCTGCCACTAATAGGGTTAAGACGCATGAGGAAGTATTCATTCGTTTGAGTACAGTTATTTCACTGCTTATAATACTATGGCTTGTGATTCTATTCAACCAATAAAGCATCATACGCCGTACACACACTCCTCATTGAGTTCCTTCTTATTGAACTCTCAGTACGGGCGCGTGGTATACGGTCTGAGGCGGTAGCTCACCTGGCCAGAGCGGAGATCTCACTGTCGCTGGTCGAGTCAGGACAGTTGAACATGTGCTCCGTGTCGCACATACACTCCTGGCGCGCCTGGTACTTGCGGCTGAACGCGGCCGAGTTCTCAAACGTCTCCAGACAACCGTCCGACGCTGTCGGTCGACAGGGAAAAACAGGGTCAGATAGCGCGACCGGGGATCAAAGACAGACGTTAAGACGACTTTTAGGGAGATCCCACCCTTCTCCCAAATGGCATTTGTCTTTCAGCGTCGAGGACCGAGACCGTCTTCCAATGAGCCTGTCTCCCAAACTTAGCCTGTCTTCCAGGCGAGCTTGTCATCCCAACCTAGCCAGTCTCCCCCATTCACCCCCCGTCTTTTCAATCGAGCCCGTCTCCCCAGCCAGGCCCGTCTCCCCATTCAAGCCTGTTTTCCCATTCAAGTCCGTCTCCCCCGGCGACCAGCTGAAGCCCCTGTAGTCTCCTGTCTCTGTCCGGAACGACCGCCACAGAGACCGTTTTGCCACCGCCGTCTGACCTCGTGACATTCATAGGTCAGAGGTCACTGGACGGCGGCGACCCGCGCCGGAAGTCCCCCCTTCACAGCGGGCTATTCTCATTTGCATAGCAAAGTTGAGTGATTATCACAGTCAGGTTTCAGTGGACAAAGGTCATAGTGAGCCAGCTGCAAACTGATCACTGATTAAAGCCGCAGCAGCCGCCTGGTTACTGAACTGGGAGACACAGTGAACCCGATCTGACATTAGGTACGGCATTCATGCATAACGGCAACGGCACAGTATAACGAATCCAAGGCATCGGAGGAATAACATAAATCAAACATTTGGCTTTCAGTTAGCAGCTAGGCATAAGGAAAAAAATCCGAGAAGTATTTGGAAGTTGGTGAAACTCTGTAAAGATTATGCCTCCTTTCCTCCGTGGCGTCCCTTTCTACAAAAAGAAAGAAAGAGAAAATGTGGCGCCAGGCAGACAGGCCATTGTTACGTAACACTTGTCTGGATGCATAATCAGAGGGCAGGTGGGACAGCTTGTCTAAACGACTGCATACGATTCATGCATGCATTATGCAAATTGAACGTCTAAAATAGCGCTTGAACGAAGGCTTATTCACCGTAATTTACAAACACATTATATTGCCCAGTGAAAAACCACATGTGACTGAAATCCGAATCACTCGGAAAGCTTAGTTGTAATTTAAGATAAATGATAAATATTACATACAGCCGCCCACCTGTGTAGCCAAGCGGACAGGGGTTGGGAGGCTCGCAGTAGGCCGGCAGCACTCCGTCCGTCTTCGTCACCTGCTGGTTCTTGATGCTGCCCTCCGGACGAAGGTGCTGGCTTCCTTCCCCGGCTCCGCCTGGCGACAGACAAAGACCTCGGTCAAGGGCCGTGCTACTGACAGACGGAGAGTGAATGGGCACTTCACCTCAACGCGCCACCGGACGCTAACAACCCGCCAGTCCTATCATTTCCTTTCTGTTCTCCTTCCGACTTTCTGTTGTGTCTCTATAGTTCCACCGAGCCTGACCGACCTCCCATTCAATCCTGCCGAGAGGTCGGCCAGTGCCGCAGGAATAGAACTCAAGGGGGGCGATGACCGCTACCAGGAGACAGCCGGCGAGACGGCGTGGGCGATATGGAACGACGGCGAGGCGGGATGGCGGCGAGATGGGTAGGGTGGGGAGACAGGATACATTGGTGGAACTGAGACACTTTTTGATGCCGGTACGGTCGGCTGACCGGTAGCTATAGAAGTTCCAAGGGGTGGCTGGTAAAATATGGCATGAAACATGACCTATACCACACTTTATTCATTTCGTTCTAGCTCGGATTGCGATCAAGGCCCTTTTATGGGCAGTCCTCTGGGCATGTCATCGTTTTACTTTTTATGTAAGTACGAGTAAGTTTCACACAGGGTCACAGATGGCATACCTTTCTTGCCCGGCAAGTCTCCTTTTCAAATATTTCTAACAGACCGATTCCGCTTTTCAGTGAAGATGAACAGAATCACATTCGCTTTTATCTATACAGCCAACTGCAAAGGCGTTCACCAGTTAACGTTTCAGTGCAAGTTTCTAGAGTAACCATATGATGCAATGAAAACCCAGGCCATCGAATGCATGTTTGCGCTCGTCTAGCGCTAAAGGGTTCCTTCCTTGAATTATTATTTCCATCATATTCTCGGTACAGATCCGCCGTACGTCAGTTTGAGCGTCATTGGTTTTATCGCTCACGCAAACGGCCCCATTTCCAGTTATAACGGATTTGAGAGGCTGCAGTATCATAAGCGCTGCTGCGGTTCATTCAGTGCTATACTATTGTACAATGAATGCCTGTAATGACATCGCTATAAGCCTGACAAATACGGGAAAGCACTAATCGACTAAGTTCATACATATTGCATACTAGCAATTAACCATATATTGCTAGATGCAATATGAGACTCAACGGTTGGATGTCTTTATATTGCGTAGAGACTAAAATGGACGCACTCATATGAATTGACTAATTAGGTTTTTGAATGGGAGACTTCTAAAGGCTAGCGCCAAGCTTGCACATGCAGGGTGCGCACTGCGCAATGGACAGGTCGCACTCGCGGCCCAAATGTAACACCCTATCGGGAATTCGGAGCCAAGCAGATTGTTGTATTCATATACTAACGTGCCCATACAGCTGGTCAGACGTGGTCTGCCCCACTCTCTAAATTGGCCAACTGGTCGCAGAGCAGCTGGGAACAACTAGTGATCTGCTGAGCCGATAGGCAATGCCCTAAACGACCACGGTCATAAACGACTTTCTACTTCTTTGTAAAACTTACTTCCAAACCATCCTCACTGGCTCGTGCACTGGCCACTGCGCCTACCTGCGACATACTGGTTGCCCCAGAGGCTGCTATGCTGCAGGAACTCGCGGTCCCGCAGGCTCGGGGCCGCCTGTCGGTAGTCGTAGTCGGCCAGACCGTACCCGTCGCCGGTGGCCGCCGCCGGGTCAGCCAGGTCGTCGTACTGGAGCGACGGGTGGCGCAGTCTGGGGGTGCGGGTCAGGTCACGGGTCATCGCACTGCAGTGTAATGTGTTGAATATTTGACATTTTAATGTAAGGACTAAGAAGTGATGTATTTTTTATGATTAACGTGCGAAAATGTACATAAAATGTGAGAAGAAAAGTGATCGCTAACATAGCAAAAGGTTTTCTTTTAACCAATGAAAACAAAGTAACAATTAACAAAGAGTTTCGCCGCTGATGTGTCTATCTGCTGACGAGCTCCTGTGCTTCAATGCAATGCCGGCCCATTGCTGTAAGACGTTCAAACCGTTTTTATATGCTGCACATCAGAGATTTCTTTTCATCGTTATGACACTTCTTACATTGCATACGCAGTGTCATTAGCGAAATGTCGGAACCGTAATGCCAACAAAAATATGAAAGAAAATTATTACATGTAGATGCATTATTCATATCTTCGTCACACTCACAGCCCCTTTCAGTTCCAATTGCATTCTGCGCAGCGACCCATACTAAGTGCCAACAAAACCCGACTGAAAAGTAACATCGTTTTCTGCGTTGCATTTGTAGTTCTTTCACTTAAGTTGACCGGGTGTGAGGTGTATTCGAACTGTCCATAAGCGAAACTTGTGCAACTTCACCATGCGTTAAAATCGCAGCCACATAATTAGCCAATTGTGTCTGAACTTTCTGCCAACAACGGGAAACCCGGTTATTTTTAATATGATGAGCTTTGCCAGGGGCATGTGTCTGCATCTCTATCATTATTTCATGACATTCGTATAAAAGTTAAAAAGGTGCGGTACCGATTAAGATGCAAGTTGAAACTTAGGTAGACACTGAAAGCGGCCAAATATACCAAGTGGTGGGATTCCTATGAGTTTGTGCCTCATAACCTCATTCTTGTCATGCACAGGTAACCACATCTCTTCCAGAAGCATGACGGTGGAGTGGAAGTTAAAGAGTTTGAGTCTAAAATCCCTCTACTCACGCTCGCTCCATGAACTCGACGTAGTCTGGAGACGGATAGTCCTTTGGCTCGTAGCGCTGGAGGACGTTCTGTAAGAACGCGTCGGCCAGGTTGTATGGCCCCTGAAACCGGACAGCACATGCACTCCATCAAAAAATGACCACTGCTAAGCGTGTAAAATCCATTGACCTATAATAAGTATAGACAGACGTAGACAGACTACTCTGGCTTAATCAGTGCCTGAAAGCCGTTCCCGAAAGCCGAACTTATTATAGGTCAATGGTAAAATCTACGCCCGAGAAATGCGAATATGTCTTTTTTCGTTAATCGTCCGTTTAAAAGGTTAGATTATGTCTGGTACTTGAAAACCTCTCTTTCACCTTATTTAGCGATTAGAGAACGTTTACTTTTAGCTTACAACATTTACTTTGAGAAAGAAAGGTTAAAATGCTATGCAGTATGCAGAAACTGAGTATGCTAGTTAGTTTAGGAAGTATCGGCCTATTTGGAGGCCGCGTTTCACCCTCCGCCGTCTGTCGCAGCACGCGGAGACCCGGCGCCGCGCGGCTGCCGGGGTGCTAGCGCCCTATGTGATAATGCAGTCGCCGGCCGGCCCGCATTGCACGGGAGTAGTGCGGCACAGCCTACCACGCAGGCATTCTGCTCGGCCGCCTAGTGTGGCGAGTTCACACTTCCTCGCGGCCGGTCCTGCTCGTAGGGAGCGGCGGAAAATCGCAAACAAGATGACCATATTTCGTTGTTTAGGAACGAGGTGTGCACTGTGCATGTTAACATGTATGCCCTATGCAGCTTCCATGTCTGAGCAAACAACACCAGGCTGAGGCCGGCAAGATAATAAAACGGTAAGAGGTAAAATGTTAAAACGTCAAAACTTAAATAAAATCATGCCCACAATCATTGGACAATATGATATTGCCGTTTCCCGGATGTGAATAGGTATGTGTAGATGTTTTGATGAAAGGTCCGAAAAGGGCATTGTCATCCAGCGAGGCTGGAATTGACGGTGTAACTTTCCCCAGAAAACCTCATTAGAGATTCATAACGTCACCAGTGTAACGGAGACCTGTACTTACTGGTGTTTTTGGGGCCTCAGATTCTTTGAAAGCTAACGTATTTGTGACGTCCATAATCCATATGCAGGCAACGTGCCAACTGCCAGAAAGGTCCCACGAATCACGATGAGTGTCACTAATGTGCTTCAGGTAGAATAAAAAAGATCCCATCCCGCCATTATTCAGAAAAAACTGAAATGCTTTTCAGCCTGCCCCGGTCGAGACCATAGGACATAGGTGTGGGAATTGGAACAAATGAAAGTGGGACGAACGAAAAAATGTGAATTGTGAAGAGCTCAATAACAAGAAAATTTCATGGAGATGACAGATATGCAAAACCTCAGAATGGGTACTCACGGTGTACAATTTTGAAAAGTTAACAAAGCAAATGTTGAACGAACACCTGTTTGCCAACCGCGCACCTTTTTACTCAATAGGGGAAGCCGGGGGAAGCCCGGCATAGTAAGCTCTTTTTGATTTTTATTACATACCATACGTGCTGTATAAAATGTTGATATCCTGCTAGCTAGCTAAGTTCATTGGCCGTGTTTTCCCAAAAATTCGGTTTCGTAGAATAAGTATAAGGTTGAGAAAATCGAGTTTTAAAAAAGTGTTGATTTTTCTGGGGTAAGCCCGGCATAGGGGTAACGCCGGCCACCTCCCCAGCGCTTTACAACGAGTTGATGAAACCATTATGTGTTTTCCAAATATTAATGGAAAGTGAAATATTAAGGTACTGATTAGCTCTGGACATCTTAGAGTTTATGTCACTACTGGTATTTTAGCTAGCGTCTACTACATATACAGTACAGGTCGATGAAAATCGTGATGCAAAATTGACAAAAAATGTGTATTTCAAAATTCCTTAAAATTTATTTTTCTTTTTACCTTAATGCATCATATTGCATATCATTCGACTCGGCTGATGAAGAAGAACACAACGACACCATTTTTGAAGCTCTAGCTTCATTGTCTGTCGCGTTATCTGCAAAAACGTAGTTTGACCCTAGTTGACCTTAAGTGACATGACTGGCTTTGTCTATGATAACATGTTTATTTTCGAAATTTATCTTTGATCTAGGTGTAAACCAAACCTGCTCAGTAACTATTATCTCCTGGAAAACAGTGGTTTAGTGGCATTGCTCTCGGTTGGGGGTAAGCTTGGCCACTCGCCCGGGGTTACCCCAATGTGCTAATTTTTATTTTAGAACAGCGATATTCGAAAAAAATGTCATACTTAAGCCAGCCTGCCTCGTCACCCCTCACTACAAACACTTAAACGATCCTTACATAACATTCGTATGAATATTAGTACTGTATGGTATAACATTAACAGTGCAACATATCTCACTTTTTAGCTAAAAACCCTTAAAATATCATTTTTGCGCTATAACTTTAACAATATGCAAGTTTTGTCGGCCTTAACTTTTTTGCTGGCGTTACCTTAGCTGCCACGCTGAAAGGACAAACAGTTGAGCATTTTATTGTGAATAATTTAGCCGGAAACGGGATGGCCGGGCTTCCCCCGCGCCCGGGCTTCCCCCGGCTTCCCCTATCCGGTCCGTCTGTAGCCCGTGTAGGTAAATCTTCTACCAAACGGCCCATATGGCTACCACCCTGCTCACTTCTGCACGTCCTCCATCCAGGAGTGTAACAGCCCCCTCACCTGGCCACCATCCTGTGCAGGCACCTACCTCCATGTGCGGGCCGCCATATGCCACGGCCGCCAGGGCCGCCAGCAGCAGGGGGATGGCCATCCTGCCTGGTCCGTTCGGCCCCTGCAACAGAGGCGGACGGCGGCACTCGGTCACCAGCGACCGGTCGACAGCGCACCAGCTCAGCAAAGGCAGTCCGGCGGCAGCGGCCGCGCACCTACCTACCTGCAGCCTGCACAATGGCGGCTGCCGCCCTCCGCGCCGACACGATCAATGACGCCGCTGCCGGTGACGTCACGCGCGCCGTCAGCTGACGTCGCCGTCACCGACCCACTGGTTGCCGCCGTCGGATCGATTCTGGCCCGCTGGAGTGGCAAAGGTCACCGGCGCCGGAGGCGACCCGTCGCCCAGTCAGGGAGTGGGAGGCAGACGCCGCAGGAAGGGACACCGGCGGCGCGTCGGGCCCGTCGCTAGGCTGCGGTCGACGGTGTGATGAGAGTCCATCATATTAGGTCATATCGGCTCGGGTCAGGTTGAGTCACAGGCTTTACAGCCCTATGAGGCTAGAAAAAGCTAAGCCGGCTGGATAATTCGAACGTCTGAGGCGGTGAATGACCGGAAACGAATTTTCAATTTACTTATAAATGGTGTCGGAAACGTTCTCCCGAATGGATGATGAAAGAGCACGTATTCAAGACAGTTAGAACGTTAGTTACCTTATAAGCATGAATGCATTGCATTCACGAGTCATGGATAAGGCAGAATAATAGAGCATTTTATAGCATGGCAATGCGACCCTCCTGGCCGTCCAGACTGATGCTTTCTGCTTAGGATAAGGAATGCAAATATATGTTTTTAATAACTGTCAGTGACATGCCTGAGCGCTTTTATGACTTTGCAGGTAATTTAGCAAATTTATCCGTAATTTACAGCCCGATTAAATCCGTCGTTCCAGAACTTCCTATCGATCATGGCTGCAGCGGCCGGCGGATCGCCCCCACATTGGCCGCGATTATATTCAGCCGGGCTGGGTCAGAAATAGTTCGGCCGGTGGCGGTGGCGTGTCTCTGTCAGTCCGGTCCGCTCCGTCCCCGGCCCTCTGATTCGGTCCCGGTCTGCAACGTGTAGCGGTGTCGATGACGGCGATGGACGGCAGTTAGCACGGCACGGCACGGGAATGGATGGAAGCACGGCACTGGGACGGATGACTCTGCGTGAAAAACTACACCGATTGGACTTTAAAACGTAGCCGACCTCGGCGAAGATAATGTTTAATGACGCAGCCTACAACCGCGGCCGTTTTATTTTGAAGAGGTACAGGTCTCGCGGGTTTTAGCGGTAGGTTTTGCACCTAGAAAATTTAGTGTACTTCAAGCTAAATCTTCGTCGTCTTAAGCTTTTAAGTGTTGAAGATGCGATCGGCTTGTTGGATCACAAGCCGGCCATGATCGTGTAAAATGGCTTCATCGTAGATCGATTAGCTTATGAGATATAACCGGAAATGTAAAAGTGCAAAACCTACCGCTTAATCTCGCGAGAGCCGTACGTTTACGAATGAATGAATGAACTACTATGATCGGAAACATGATTTATTAACCAACGGCCGCTATGGTAACCTTACGTTTTTACTGATCACTCAGATCACCTTACGAAACTACCGAGGTCCAATTCGTGCAATGTAAATTGCTGAGGTGATTTCTGAGAAACAATTATCCTCAGACACACTGCTGGCACAACATAGCGACATCGTTTCAGCTTGTGTCAAAACACGAAGAAATAGGGAAACGGCCTGCTAGGCGTGCGTGGAATCGCACCATGCGTATGCTTTAGTAATTCCTCCTCTGGGTCAAATCTTATAAAATGCCGTACTATTCTATTCACGGCATTTGGTAGCATTTACAGTGATACGAGTGCCGACAAACGGTTATCCGAGTCAACGAAATGATTCTTTGGACCGTCCACATACGATGGATTGAAATGCGTGAAAACCATTTTGCATTTGATAGCCGTTTTCTGCAGCTGAACTTCAGCCAGTGCCCAGTGCTGCCATATCCATTCCACGGCGTTTATAAGATTGAGCCAGCTGCGAGTCACTCAATCACCTGTTAGTACTCCAGGTACTGCGCAGATGAAACTAGCCCGAAAGCCGTAAACCAAAGTCTGACAGCCGTAATAATATCGAGTTTATTTGACAGCGCACCCGGAGGCGGCTGCAGCGTAGTGACACACTTTTCTTCATGTCCACACCCGACTGGAAGACCTTCAGGTCGCGGAGGGACTCGACACACACAGAATGTAGTTCACAAACATATTATGCAACAACCGGTACGCATGATTCCAGTCATTTCCTGATCCCTCAAATAAAAGTCGTTTACGAAAATAAGCAGAAAAGAGTACAAAAAGCAAGTTTGACAAGCATGCAATTCATGACTCCTTTCAAGAACATTCTCCGTTTCGCATGGTGTCTATCTGAATGAGTTTCAGATGCATTCAACAGCCTTTTCGTCGATTGTCCGCCGATAGCACGAATATCATATACCGGAAAAGACGTTTCGAATGGTGAAATGATTGGCATGGATAAGTTATGGATTCACAGTTTGCAAACGTGCACATGTACCACACACTCGACACACTGTATACAGAATGCAGCAATCCTAAGACCGGAAGCAGATCATCAATCGTGCTTCAGATAAGTCTGAAAGAAAATATGTTTAAGTGCGAATAATTGTGGAGTAATATACCCACAATTTCGCCTTCCTATTGCCTAAAATACACATACATCTGACTTCAGTCACATGCCACTCTCTCCTGTCACATACAAGATGTTTACAAGTCCTTAAGAAGAACGCACCCTTCATCATTCGTTACTAAATCGTTGTACTAATTTCTTTTCTAGGGGAGAAGCGACATGAAATCCTAAAACGAAGTATGTTCCCGAGCTGATCGTAGAATCACGATCTTCCTGTGAGGGGGCGGAGCTGCCCCGCGATCTCCACTGACTGCGTCGCTGTCTGCGACAACTGTCTGTCCGTCCGCTGTCTCCAGTGTCGCTGTCTGCGGCCACTGTTCTGTCCCACCGCATGTGCCTGGGATGCTGAGGGAGCGCCACACCGGAAGACACCTCAGGTCCGGTCCGGTCAGGTCAGGTGGGGTCACCGCAGCCGTCCAGTGCCAAGCTGGTCGGATATGGGCCGCCCAGCAGCCGTCGACAGTTCAGCTTCCGTCGAAGGGCGGGGCAGAGCCGAACAATCGTCGGCCAGCGGTCTCGCACCTACTCCCTGAAGCGGTCCCAACCGCTAGAACCACCTACTGACATCCAGTGGCCATCATACGAACCACCAGTTCCGCGTAGCGACAGTAGTCCACATCTTCCAGCACTTTTACCTATTGGCGGCCGCGTCAATGCGCAGACCTATAGTTCCACCGCAGCCCTTGACGAGAGCGGCCTGTCGCACCACTAGCGCCGCCTAGCGACTGTCGACCGACACTCTAGTACCCTCCGCTGCCGGGCGCGGCGGCAGTATCACAAGCTCTGAAAGTGCTCTCGGTTGACGTGTGTCGGTTGGGCGCGCTCAGATCTGGTTGACGGTGAAGCGCCACTGCTGGGTCAGCGTCTCCGGGTCGCAGGCCCGCGCCACCATACCGCGCGACTGGGGCAGGTCTGAGTCGGCGCAGAGGTCGAACAGCACGTGCCGAATGGTGCCGTCTCGCCGCTCCCACCGCTGGAACGGAGAGCGGAGTCAGAGATTGGGCCGACCGGGGAGGGCTGAGGATATGAAGCAGGGGATATACTGTACACACTTTAAGGAAATAAAGAAATCCACTGCCACACACGCATGTTCCTCAGAAGATAACAGAAGCACCGTTTACGATGAGCCTACCAAATCAAAGAAAAGCAGCAGTTAATTAAACACATTCCCTGTAAACAACATATATAAAGCCCCTGGTTGGATCCGCAACGGGGCATAGCTCGACCCGGTAACACCACCACACCTCTCCCTCCGATACTCCCGCTGGTATATCCTCCAGTAAGTTCCCCACCACCCTTCCCTGCCTCAGCCTCTCCCCGCTATGTCTCCTCCTATCGCACCTGGTTGGTCTGACTGGTGCGGCAGCGCTGCAGCAGCACGGGCGCTCCGGGCCGCGCCTCCAGCAGCGTCATACACAGGTCTCTGTGCCGGATCGTCTGCTCGCGGGTGTAAGTCCAGTCCTGGGGAGCGGCGATCAGGGGGTGAGCTCTGGTCAGGTTACGGGGCAGGGGGGGAGGGTGGGCGGGGAATGTCATGGAATCCGCAAAGGGTAGGGAACGGCAGGATAGGCCATGACAGGACAGAGGAAAAGAGGTCAGGGCAGGGTGGTGGCGGGGGAAAAAGACCACATATGTCATCAGAAGACATCGATAATCTAAACTAAGCTAGCAAACAACATGCCACCGTTCAAGCATGCAAGCCGATGAAATCATCATAATCATTCGTCCCATTTGTAACCCAGATCACTCCTGAACGCATATTTGACAACAGCAATGAACTAGCCCCAGCCCGTTTAGCTGGACGCTCAAACGCTCTGCTTTACAAAGGCCCAGGTTAGTGCCCTGAGCTGCCGAGAACAGAGTTGAGACGGCATTCTCACCTGGTTACCCCCGCCGTTGTGGCAGGAGTAGAGGCCCACAGTGCCGTTCACGATGTGACCGAGCGTGTCCACGCACATGTGACCCTGAAACAGATGTCAGGTCAGGTCAAACCGGGTCAACCGAGATGAAAGGGAGCGCCATAGATCTATAGACTCAAATTCATATTGGTACTATAACAGCCGAAACCTTCGGCTGATCTTGACAAAAGCAATACTATCTTAACACTACGACAAATTGTACTCAAGCACGATTCCAACGGTGACACTTGTGAACAAAGAGCGACGCCTTGTGGAGTTATTTCAGGCGCCACTCAAAGCGACACGGCTAATGCGAAGTGTTTGGCTGCCAGCGGAGCGGCCCATTTGTTATCAAATAAACGTCGGGCGTGACTGCCCGTACTTGAGCCTGCAGCGCCGCAGTCGTTTATGAAGTGTAGCACACTAGAGCCGTCACATTCCAGGGATCATTTCGGAGTGACGCAGCTTTAGCCGACTTCAAGACAACGTAAAACAACAGCACGTGCCAGGGAAATCACCTCAACTCTGTAGTTTCGGAGAGGAAATAGCTCTGATCTTATGACGTCAGCACGGTTCAATATACAACGACGTCAGTGAAGGGTGCCGCGGCGGACGGGAGTAACGCACCTGCTGGATGGAGCCGAACGCCATGTCGCCGGCGTCTGGAACCTTCAGTTCCGGGTAGACGTTATCGAGGAACCACCGGAACGAGTGGCACTTGAGCTGACGCTTCAGCTCAGTCCGCTCACGAATGCTGAAATACGGGGAGAGGGTTTGATTGAAGAGCATGACTATTGATGGGGATTTGTGAGGGATTCTCCCAGCTGGTTCGCAGCCTGAGCCTGTGATAAATGCTGCCAGATTAAGCATGTAATGCATGGGAAATGTTAAAACCTGACGAGGGGAGCGACGAGAGGGTGTCATTCGCTGAAAGCGGTGTCTAGCTCAGGATTAAAATATTAAATAACCCTGCATATTTTATAAAAGCTGTGTGATACCATAAGGCTGAATTCTTGCCCTTCATTCGCATAACGGCTGGGAGGAGACCGACCGGTGGTAGATCACTATTCCTACCTTCCGAACGGCACGTTTCTGGACAGCGGTACGGCGGCGTAGTAGAACTTCTTGTAGTCGTCCATCCACACCTCGGCGGCACGGCGAGTGTTCTTCGCAAACACCTGACGAACGAAAGGGATGGGGTAATGGCAATCCTCTTAACACACACGGGAAGGGTTGACAGTTGTCCTCAGCGGGGTTATCGAAAGGACTGCTTCGGGAAGTGGTCCTCAACACACATTTGTGATGCATCTCTGTGCTCTACAAAGGAAACAGACCATAAACGAATTGTATCCGATGCTCCATTTTACAAATGCGACATAGCGTGATAAATCGTTCGCTGAAACATTCCATGAAAGTCAACCTTGACAGCTGCTTGATAAATCTCACATGTCCCTAAAAACCGGCTTGAAAGAGCCGGGACTGGTGCTAATCTGAGCAGTGAGCATGCCTAGCGTTTACCCGACATCACGATAGGTACACTTGGTTTGGTACACGCACAAATCGTGTAGCCATCCACGAAATGCAGATGGTGGATATCCGGGTTTTCTTTCATATTGATAATACGAGGCGAAAACAGCGGCGAATACATTGCGGATACTCTCAATAAAAAGTCCTAGACTGAAAGTCATCCAACCAGGTAACCGCCTAACCCCTAATCGGAATCACGTTGGCTTCTTCCCCTGGCATTAGTGGCCAGCCATTCCGCCAGAACACACACCGCTTTCTCAGCCTGTAGCCCCGTATTCACTGACTTCAACGCTACACTGTACCCACACTGTAATCCTATCAGCTGTGAGCCACATCACCGACCTAACCACTGCCCCGTCCTGTGACCTGACCCTGACTGACCTGACCGCTGCCGCCGGGGAACGAGTAGGGGTGCTGTTTCCTGAACACGTGACCCACGCGGCTGCAGGGAATGATCTCCAGAGAGCCACCGCACTGCCACACGCGGAACGAAAACTCTGCAACACAAACGGAAAATATTCGTCAGCAACGAGGTCAAAGTCAAAACGAGGGACGAGAACTCTGTCAGAATACAAGTACCGACATCTGGGGTTCACATTGGAACGAAAACTCTGACGTCATTTGTCACTGGTCACTGCTTAAGCTCAGGTCCACACAACGGACAACATCTCTACAAGCAAAACCTCGCAAGTCACAAATCCGTTTGGGTTCACACTTCAAACACGGAACGACACTCCAGTTCTCCAACAGCACTGGTGACAAAGCAAAGTACAAAGCAGTGAGTAGGTGCTCTGTTCGAAAGTGTCACCGATATTGACGTCAATGTCAACACTGTCTATGTCCACACTGCATCGGCAAATACACACTGTTGACCCCACAGCGGACGGAACGATCTATTTCAACACATGTTCTCGCTACGAACCATGACCTCACACAACAGCCGCGCAGTAAATTGAATCACTCAACAAAACAGCCGCACGGTAAGTCCACTTTTAGACGTGCTTCTTAGTTCTTAACAAACACACCGCCCTTAAACATACTTTTCCACACCCCACAGTTTGCTTACATTTCGAGCCACCGACGTAGCGTCACCGGCAGACTCTTACTCACCAAAAGTCAACATACATAGTTGCTGCAAGTACCACTGCACCACGCTAGCCTCTGTGGCACCTATCGAGTCATCGACCCCCACTCGAGAAGGGAGTGGAGGGGAGGGCAGCACGCGACCCGTCCCGGAACGCTCCGTTTACCGGTGGCCAGTGGCATGATGAAGGGTGGGGCGAACACAGGCATACCTAACAAAGAACGCTTACTGAGAAATGACTATGGCATAACGAACGGTCCAACAAAACATTGCGACGATACTGTAGCACAGCGACAATGGGTGGATTGGAGCCAACATTGTATAGTAGTATTTGGTGGATAACATCGGTGTAGTATTTGGTGGATAACATCGGCGTACGTTTGCTTTATTAATACACAATAGCCAGTTGTTTATCCACGAAGTGCCGTCATTGACCAAGCCAATAAGTTTTCTATGAACACGGTATCGTAGCCGGTAACGTATGACATGACACAGGTAGTCACCTGACAGTCCAATCAGCTAACAACACCAACAATCGGCACCACAGACGGGTATTTACCGAGGCAATCAACCGGCCACGACACCATCTATGGACCCATCAACTTGTTACAACACACACCATTAGCTGACGTCAGGTACAGACACCATCTAGGGGCGGTCACCAGTACCACCCGAGACACCAGGCGCTGGCACCTACACCTGGTCCACATACGGTACAGGTTGGCAACGATTCAAAGTGTTTGATTCGATTCGACTCTGAGTCGCATACGACTCTGGCTGTCAGTGAGGTACACCGTTAAGGCCTGGCTACACTATGCGTTTTCTGTGTGCGTTTTTTTGCGGGTTTGCGTGTTTTGCGTAATATCGTTCTAGAAAAAGAAACGATATCACGTTTTTGTGATGCTCTTTATATTAAATTTTAGTTAATATAAGAGTTATCTTAACTTTTGTATATAACTGATGCACAACTAACGTAAAATTATATTATTTATAACTTTTTTTCTAGAACGATATTACGCAAAAAAACCCAAACAAACCCGCAAAAACGCACGCAGAAAACGCATAGTGTAGCCAGGCCGTTACACGCACGTGTCTCGGGCACACCCGAGGTCCGTACCAGTGCTTATGCGAGAGAACACGCCAGCTGGTCTGGTAACCATCGGCAAAATATCCAGTAATGGACACTGGCATGGCCATTACCAAAACAGGATGTGCAAACAACAAAGCCAGACAGGATCAATACCACACATGTAGCTATACGGTGTTCGAGGGATTGGGCTAGAAGTTATCAGTGTTTGTAGACACCTCCCTGACTGTACAGATGCCAGAGTCTACAATGATCAATACACGTCACAGCGGCGAATTGAAGTTCAAGCTGGCTCAGCAGATTACACGAATCAATTCGAAGAAGGCATTTGTCAGACGTTCAAATTCCAGTCTTTAATATGATCATGGACACCGAACAAATGTCATCGTTCATCAAATTGAGCATCAGAGCCCATACGTCGACGGTGTGATACGGTAACATTTCTTACTTGGCCCTCGTATAGGAGTCTTCGGTAGGTGGGCGGGGGGGGGGGGGGCTGGCGCCCGCTTCGTTCGACCCCTACATATAACACACCCAAAGCACCTAGGCCCGTTCTACCCTACATTTGACACGCCCAAAGCACCCGGACTGGCGTGTCTGGGGGCCATCTGGTCACCGGAACTCTGTAAGGACTGACGCAAGGTGCGCCAGAATAGTGGTTGGTTGGGGACCGGCGCACCTGGCTACCATAGCCGGCACGCGCCGGGAGACCAGGGGAAGCCAATGCCGATAATGACACGCCACCGGTACCGCTGGGCAGGGGGACGACTCACGACGCTCTCTGCCATAGGCTGACACGGTGATACAGTGCACGACAGGTTGGCGAATAAGCTGGCTATGAAGGCACTGGTATCGGACTAGCGGTTGTGTGCACTGATGGCCAGCTAATGTGGACACTGATGCATGACTAATGTACACAATCAAGACCGATAGACATACATATCGACGGTCAATTGAGGTACATTTTGTACCGCCCAAAGGGCGAGACAGTACCTATGCGGCTCTGTCGGAAAAGCTGTCGGAAAAGCTCATGCATTCGCAGGAGCCGCCCTACGAAATAAGAAAATCACAGTTCAAGGAACGATCGGTGAGCCATTTTGACGAACTGCTAAGCACGGTTTTGACGAATGTCTCCCTGCTTATACAGCGGATGTAGGCCCGCATTTAGACGCAGCCCCTGTTCGAAATCGATTGCCTGTTTCGAAGAATGTTTCCTAAACTGTCAGCTCGAGCCTCAGCCGGAAAAGCTCAGACCCGGCCGGGACTGTGGCTGGGCCTGGGACCGAAACGGGCACCGGTGCTGAGGCAGGGTCGGTGCAGGGCGGGGAGGGATTCTGCACACTGAACCAATATGGCCAACTATCGGCTCAGCAGATATCCAGTGTCACTCCTAACTGTCCGGGACCCGTCCAATTCAGTCAGATACTGAGCCGGGGCGTCAACAGCTGTCGTCACGTCCCGAGCGGGACATTCCCCGACCAAGGCTCGGTTCTACTTTTCCACCGCGATTATATGAAATCTAAATCATACGCTGAATGTGCTTCGACCGAACTCATAGTTAATTCACAATAAAAAGAGAGCATAAAACGCAAGACGGTCGACATCATAGTTCGGTACTCTTCTTCAAGGCCCAATATACCACTCCTACATCCACTTCTAGATCCACTTCTACATCGCTATGAGAAGAACGGGATCACGTTTTTAGATAACAGGTTTTTACGCTCAAAACAAAAGCATCTCCTCTGAAGTCACCTGCTGTGAAATAAACTTTCCACGTTACTCGACTTACCGAGGTTCTCTCCACCCCAAACCTCCATCTGCATATCGTATTTGCCGAGCTTCTCGAACCAGGCCTTATCCATGACGAACAGACCGCCGGCAATCATGGGCGTCCTGCGAGAGACACAGGGACGGCGTCAGGTCAGACCGATTCCCGTAAAGCAGCCAACCCTGTGACGTACGGTGACCATGGCAACGGCGTGATATCCAACGCCGCATAAATTCCGAGAGCGGTGCCGAGCCGATTCTCAGAACAGGGGCTTCAGAGATAGATTATCAGCGACATCAGCGCATCGATATTTCACAGTTCTGGAAAACTTTGACAGTCTTGGACACGTGTCAGAGGCAGGGCGTTCAGAAGCAGAGCGTGTATGCCATTAAACTTGAGTTGGCAGTGGTGGGCTGAGGAAACCACAAACATTCAAACTTTACGGAAGATGGAACGCTAAGGCGTCGGGAGGCAAATGCCACGCACAATTACTACTTTGCATAGAAAATGGCAGCGTTCCAGAGCCGGCCGAGGCCGTTAAATAGCGCACCGGGGAGAAAAACAAGACATTCGCGGCTCAGAGAGCCCCTACGCGGAAACACACCGTGACAAAAATACAGAGAAACCTCAGGACGGTAGCCAAACATCCCAAGGACATGGCATTTGTTGAGGAGATATTAAGGAAAATCGTCCAAACATGAATAATACTGCATCGCTGAACATTTTTGGACGGTGCGGTCCGGCATTTGCCTGCAATGCGACAGACAAATACTTTTATTTGGCTAGCAAACTTTTAAATTATTGCCTGCTGACACGCTAACATGCGTATTTGCACTCGTTGCTAGTGACAGATATGCATTTGTTGCCCTCCTCCGTCAGCTTAAGTGCGGCTATGAGCCGGAGCCCGGGACCGCAGTAGATGCCCGTCGCCAGACGATGGTCACGTCTAGTTATTATTAGGTAGGTTTGTCTAGTTATCAGGCCCGCCGGGAGCGCTCACTTGATGGGCAGCGTGGGGTCGGCGCGGTGGCGGCGCCGCTCCGTCTCCGTCATGTACTCCCACTTGAAGACCAGGTTCCAGTCGAAACCGCCGCGCAGGTCGGCAGAGGCGCCCACGTACTGGAAGTTGTCCATCGAGATGACGTCGATGATGGGGCAGACGACGCGGGACCGGTCCTGTGGGCAGCAGAGGACCGTCAGTCGGGAAAACATGAGACTGTTCGACTGCTAATACTGATAACATCGGTGACATGATCAGATGACAAGTCAATCCTCTAAATCCTCAACACTTCACACAGCGGCACAAAATATCGGCACGAATCGTGGACGGGCTCGACCGATGACACGGACTTCATTAATCCTGAAGGAGGCTACAGGCTACAGCACGGCCAAGCAATTGCAATATAATTGGGTAAGTGATCTGTGATAATACGCCAATCTGCGAGCATTGATCGCTCTCGTTAAAAGTCACTTCTGCATCTCTTCCCATTCTGCCCCAAACCACATCCCTCTGCAAAAGGACGTTCTTACGGTGAAATTGCGTCACAAAACTGGTTTCGGAGATAACATCCGACAAGGACTTAACAAACAATAAAACCTGACATTCTAGAGCTGCCAGCACAGAACCTAGATATGCGTGTTATTTTATTTTTATTTTTTGAGCGATGTGATACAATGAAATGTAAGTAAATAACATTCGAGAAGAGCTTCATTAACTTTGCTATATGATACCGTTGTATATAACTATACTTACTAACTAATACGCCATAATTTCGTACTGCTGTAATAAAAGAACCAGTTGCGAAATAGACTGGACTCGAATAATACTTCGGAATGCCGCCACATTTCATTATCTAGACTTTATCCTGATAAGACAAACGATTAACCGATTACCGAAAACTGCGTTATATGGATCACAAATGGGCGACAGAGCTGTCAGCTGCCTCTACCGAAGCAGAGTATAACAGCCTGGTATCACCCAGCTACAGCCAGATGATGGCCACAGAGGGACACGTCAGATAACCAAAGGCCCCAGCTGCGGCCGATCTGGCAGCGTAAGCCGGCCGTTCTCACATCCGATCCTGGCACCCGAATCACCCGGACGCAGCCATCCCGACTTCCTGGTCCGGCAGCTGAAGTGACCGACGACGGCATAAAGCATTGGAACGACCATCAGCTGCCGGCGCAGGGCCGACATACATCATACGGCCGCTGAGGCGCCGGGTAGACATCTGTCTTACGGCCGTCGGGGCAACGGTCACAGCGCGTCGGCCGATAACTTACCGGGCGGCGATGATTGTGGGAGCCGGTGGGTCTGTCTCGCACAACACAGGCCAACTATGAAAACTGAATGAAATTACATTATGCGTATGAATATAAAAAGTTCCCTAAGTGGCGATTAGCACTCGCCAATCTACGAACACCTCTGAGCTGCCATTTGTCCCTAAAACTGATCCTACGAAAATAAGGAACATTCTTGAACTTGAACTGGCATTTGCACTGCCTGAGCATGGTTTCATTTGGGGCATTCAGTATACGAACTCCCGTCTTTGTATAAGGATTGGGTTCCACTACGGAACTTGCACAAGACTGTGGCTATAAAACGGACAAAACGGGCGTTTCTGTTAAGGCTGATTGGCGACCTTAGCCCAACATGGAGAAACATTCCAGTCCAATAGACCATGAACCAGGAAGTTAGCCTATAGTAGTCCCCGCTGGGGCCTGGCTCATTCTCTTAAAACCATGACAGAATGGCACATACATCTTCGCAGTGCACCCATCAATCATTTACAGCTGGTCTTCCCCGGTTATGGAGATCTCCTGGGTCATAAAACGCCGCCATGTGGAACAGAGTCTCACCATGCTCCGACTGGGGACATTCCCTGACATTCAGAGAGGCTCGGACATTAGCCAGGCGTCACTGGAAAAAGGAACATTAACTCAGCAGCAGATAGTGACCGAGCTCGAGCCTCGAGGCTCGAGCACGCCACTGGACTCAGGAGTTCACAAAGTAGCCTCGCGCAGCAGTCGGGGCATCAGTCCCCAGCTGGGTTCAGCAGCCACACGATTCACTCCGCTGGTAGCTTCTGCTGGTGATATTTCGCTACCTAATTAATCAGCTAGGGGGCTCGTCGTGCCCGTCGTGCCATTCCAGACACCCGGACTGACACCAAAGCTACTCAACTTCAACTCTTTGTCGCTCATCGTCCCGTCGTATGCCGCACACTATCCTAGCCTGTCCCAGGAAAGCGAGAGGGGACTTAAAACCCTAGCCTCACCGATGGAGTTGGGGGACATCGTGTGACATTTTCACCACGCTCACAACATCTAATGTGTTGTTCCACTCCCTTCGCCTTATCTACGCCCCTCTCCCGAAAGGCGAGAGTTGACTTCTGTGCGGTCACAGCGCTGGTGACTCCCGAGTTTACCCATCTACACGTCTGCATCATGAGTTTACGTCTACCCAACTTCAAAGCCGCTCGCTGCGTGGAACACTGGCTATTAGGAACAGAAAAGTCGTAATGCAGCGGCAGCGGGGGCGGGGCGGTGGGGTGATGGCGTGGGCGGGGCGGGGGGGGGGGGGCGGACCTCGTGCGTCCAACGCCTGCAGGGAGCTCGGAGATCAATACGCACGATGCGTACCATTCGTGTGACGCTCATTGCCACGCGTCAGGCCCCACGCGCCCCCACGTGTTGGCTCAAACGCCGCTCACGTAATACGCGCTGAATGGACACCGAATGGACGGCTAGGAGCGGCGCACTATTCGCCCTGCCGTCTATACTAGGCTTGCCGCATTCAGCGACGACCTATGCCTACTGTGTTCATTGTAGGTAATGGCATAGTACACAGCAAGACAAATAAACAAATGGCGAAGACAATTCCATTACAATGAGCTACGTTATGAGAAGGTCTATTCTCCCAGCGGTGGTATCGCACACTGCACCCGACGCCGCACTATGGCGTGTCCGAACCGATAATGGCGAACACAACACGACCGCTATTTACGCATTGGGCTGCCGCACAGGCCTGCTGACATGCATGATCGCCTTCGGCGGGTCATAACATTACCGCTGATGGCATGTAAATGCAGGACAGATCGAGCGACAAGCTGGGCCACCGTTGGCAAACCAAGAAGGCAATGTCAAACGTAGGACAATCGCAATGTCCACTTACTCTTTATGGCCCCATAAAACGACACCTCTTTCTTTGTTTCCCTAGCAGCCTAGGACTCGGGCTGAATGATAACGGCTGCAACACCATTTACGACAGCTTACCGGCACCTTCCGCGACTACAATCAGTAAAAGACCAACGCCAAGTCGACTTGGCATGTAAAAAAGACAATGAAGCCGACTTGGCCAGAAAAACGCCTGTAATGACATTAATATTTGTGGTGAGGCTCGATGCACCAGTTCCAATCCAACTCGCTATCGTCATATACCCTCCTTGGCCTCCCCTCGGTGCCACCAATAACTTCCCTAACCTCCTTCCTACACCGGTCCGAACACGCTGACCTCCCTCCTGCTGTGGTGTACCACAGGTACCGCCCCGGCCCGCCCCTGACAGTGTTCCCCTGAGGTCGGCCTGCCCTGTCGGCCCCAAACCGTCAACAATTAGTCGCCCGTGGACATTGCCCGACCGTCAACACTGCTAATTGCACCGGGGTCGGACACGCCGGGGAATTGGATGACACGCAGCTCGACACAAACAAGCTGAGTGGTCGGCTGACTTAGCTGTGCTCCGCACACACCAATCTGCCAAGGCCGTAGCGAATGACGAGTGACTGATTAATATTTCCTGCCACGAGACATTTCCAAAATCAATCAGCGTAAAACAAGCGGAACAGCCTTGACGAGTTCTCATACAAAGAGCGTAGGTATATCAACTGTAACATGAGCAGCTCCTCCAAGTCTCTTATTACATTTACGCTTGTTTTGAAATATCAAAATCACGTTACCCAGTCTGGACAAGGAGCCTACTTAGTAACCCACGCAGTAACTTACCACAACTCCACCTGATAACTCACCGCACCTAACTCAAGTCGTCCTCACTCAGTAACTCACCTCGGCTACCCGCTCCAGCATGGGCTCCAGCCAGTTTTCGTTACACTCGCAGTGAGAGTCTAGGAAGGTGAGGATGGGCGCCGTAGCCGCGTCAGCGCCCTTCACCCGTGAGCGCATCAGACCTGGCGAAAAACGGAACATCGGGCTCGTCAGATATTGATATAGTGTGCCTGTGACGTCTGAAGGTAGACAATCGTTAACTCATGGAGTACAGCAGTATTGATAAACCCGTTCCTTTTGATACCACTCGTAAATCATGTCGTGGCTATTGATGGTAACATGACGCCATTACCACCGAAATAGCCGGGCATTAGTGAACATCACTCGACGTAGGACAAATGTCCAGCGGAAAGCTCTGTGATTACGGACACCGAAATACTGCCCGATTCATTTCGGTTCCCTGGTAACTGTGACAAACCCAGCGCCAGGGCCGACATTTGGACCCGGCACGCCAATCTCTGACGTCACGCTCCTGCATTATGACGTCAGAAGTGTCCGGGTGGAGCTAGGGGGAGTTACAGGGAGGAGGGGGGGAGGCGGTGGCCATTCCTCCCGCCCGAACCACCGCGAACGACATAACCGTCCCCGCTCGTACCGCCCCGGTTAACGCGCCATCATATATTCATAGCGTAGTCGACACCGGCTTAAGTTGCGGGAGGCAGGCACAGACCGCTGCCAGTAGCAGCGAGCCCCACTCGTAAGTCGTAGTCCGGGGTGGCGCGGAGTTGAGCCAGCCATCAGAGCTGAAATAGCCAAGGCCTGGGGCGGCTAAATCTGCTCAATTTTGGTTTAGTTTGTGGAGAACGTGACAAAATTTTATCTTGATACGTTTTTACGGATGTGGTTCGTATATGGAGTGTCGGTCAACTTTTCAAAGGCCCTCTGGGAGATCCGACCCCAGGTCCTCGGCGGAAAAGTAAGACATCCTGTCGTTTCACAGGACCACTCTGGAGACTCGAGAGACGGGTGAGTGGATCGATTTCGGCCAGCTTCGGCAGAGTGGAACTGAAGCGACCTGAGGGAGGTCGCCAGGAACGGAGAGTGGTGTCGGGGTGCGGAACGGAAAGAAGTAATGTGTAAAGGCAGTGGAGCAGACGCGAGTTACAAGAAGGCAGTGAAGGAGCGGTGGCACAGAACAGTGAGGTGGTGACGTGCAGAGGTAAGTGGCAATCCGGTACTGCAATCTACAAAAAGCCGGAGGAATAAAAGCGCGCTCGCTGCATATCGCCCGAAGATAATTGACATTGCCAGCGAAAGTGGAATACCACGGGCGCCTCAAAAGGTCACCGGTCAATCGACTCGATCGGTTCGGTGGGCAGTGCCGAACGGCGGCCGCGGAGTCTGCGGCGCGGCCGGCAGTCGCAGCTCGAACCCACCACGGCAGCAGAGGGCCGGGAGGGGGAAGGGGTAGGGGTCGGCAGACACGGCAGCACGTGACCCAGTAACACGTAACCCGGTGACAGGAGTGACAGGCGTGTCACGCTGCACGCGCAGGTCACGAATGTGTCAGAGCAGCGCTGTTCCGCGATCAGAGAGACATCGAGTCGGTATTGGATGTGACCGGTGTCGCTAACGCCGGCAAAGGAGGGTGGGTGGGTGATAAGCAGAGACAGAGAGAAAGAGAGGAAGGGTAGAAGGGAGGATGGGAGACAGAAAGATGGATGAGGATGAAGAGATAGAAGGAACGAAAGAAGAACGAGAGTAGCCCGAATGAGCTGTCCGGTCGTGGAATCGAAGCAGAAATGGATGTCTGACGTGACCGAAGTCCAACAAGGTCTGAGGAACCGAAAAACGTCCCGTGCATGCTGAAATATTCGTGGAAGGTGGTGGCGTTTTCACACGCACAACAGCAATCACCTCAGGAGCTGATAGGCAGAGTGATTAGGAATCGGCAACTTGATCTAAACTTCACGGCGCAGATTTCAAATGGATTTCATTAGCGACTGATCGGCTTAGGAAGGAATGAATGAATTCTTTTTTACGGACTACATCATCAGAATAAATCAAATAACCAAGGGCTATTCTTTGAACAAACATCGAACAATTACACACTTTTCCTATAGAGTTCAGCTTTCTCGGACTCCCAGAGTTCCCTCAAACAACTCATTTTTTATTGCAACTAATGCCTACGGCTTTTGTTGACATCTCTGCTCACCATCGACCAAATACACTCGAATCGTTGGGTCATTATCATGTCGAACGGCCAGCTACTAACCCTGGAAACAACCACCAAAACGGTCGGCTTCCAATACCAGCCCTTCATTTCAGCCACTCACTAGATAATAGAGAGCCGTGTCCTTCCATCAGACGCCGTCATTGTCATGCATCAAACAGCGTCTTCAGTCCGCTCTGTCCATCCAGGTCCAGAGCTGACCTTTAGCCACGTAATCCCATCAGTGTCCACACCGGGCCGATACCAGGAGCCCAGCCGGGGAGCCACAAAGGCCAAAGGTGCCGGCCGACCGTCACCGTGTCATCCGTGGCATTCTAGACCAGCGCCGTGCCTCATACGGTTTTAATGACATAACACGGGTGGAGCAGCTGGTTCATGACAGCAGCCGTCTGGTTACGTAACACAGCGGCGGCAGCATAAATGGCACTGCAGAGCGGACTCAGCTAGAAACAAAATGCGGCGAGCTACCGCCGCGCTTCTGCCGAATCCTCGGTCCAATAAAAAAGCAGCAGCATCAACGACAGAAACGGCGGCGCAGATCGCACAGGACAGAAGGCACAGACCTCTTGTCAAACCACGGGAGTCACCGTCCATTTTCCTTTCCCCGTCCTTCTCCTCCTCGGCACTGGGGCTGGGGGACGGGGGAGGACGTGGCATTATGCCCAAAGCCAAGACGTTTACATCGGCACCGACAGCATCCAGCCGACTCCGGAACAAAGCCGGGCTAGGGCGGGGGCGAACCACGGCGGATCTCGGGGCAGGGCGGGGGCGAACCGAGGCGGCCCAGAGAGGGTGGTCGGGGATCGAGACAGGCCAGGGTGGGACGGGGCGGGCTAGAGCCAGGCGGGGACGGGGGCGGACTAGAGCTAGGCTGGGTGGCTCGAGGCGGGCCAGGCAGGTCGGGACACAATACAGCGGATACCGGAGAGGGGTAGGTAGTAGGAAGGGATGAAAATGGATCAGACGGAGCAGGGGACGGGCCGTGACAGGACAGGGCAAATCAGCAAGGGGAGGGGCGGATCACGGCTAAAGCAGAGCTAAACGAGGCGGAGCAGAGCCAAACGAGCGAAGACCAAGAGCAGAACAGGAGTGGAAATAAGAACGAATCGGTATAAGAAAAGATCAGGGCGATGGACAGAGTAGAGTAGGACGGAGACCGACCAAGGGGAGTGAACAAGAGGAGATAACACTTCATCGTTTACAAGACCACATAGCATGGTGCACACGGCACAGTGCACAAGCCCTGCTTCTGAGCAAAACTGCTTTGAATAACCGCTATAAATCAGGATCCGTATGACACTAAATCGGCTTACTAGCACTTGATGATAAAATGACTACCCTGCCCTTCACAGCACCGCATGGGTCCACCGAGCTCGATTACATGAACAGATACGGGGAATTAATTATGTACTGACGCCAGGCGACTCCGCCATGATTAATCTTAGCGTACCTCAGTTAGGCGCAACAATGCTGTCACAGCAGGCTCAAATGCCGTGACTGCACACACGGGCACGGCAGGTTGTCCAAGTGGTGCTCATTGTGTACCAGCCTAAGGCTATTATTATGGGTTACACGTTAAGTGTCAACCCGTGCGACACGGTAGCGTTTCGCAGCACGACTGGCTGTGACATTTACTGGAGCTGCACGCACGTCCACGCCTGTCGTTAGTTAGCGCTACGACACATACGTTCAGCCATATTAACCAAGGAAATGCTGATGCGTCGGCGACTCACCAACCCGCTTTCAACAGGCCTCTCACTCAAGGCCGGGCGGTGGTCAAAAATCGCCGACGGTAGCGAGGCACGTCGCTCCATTTCACCACTCCGGCCAGCTAAATACTTTATCAAACAGAGGAGGCTCCCGGCCGGTGTGAGCGGTCCGAGTTGCGTCACTGCTAGCCGCCGGAGCGCTGGCCGACCGCAGAGGCGTTCCGCAGCACTCGTTCCAGGCCGGCCTCACGCCGATGACGAAACAAACCCATCCCGACGTCGTAAGGGAGGTTTGGTGGCGAGCAGCCGGCGCCCGATCGCAACCAGTGCGACAGGTGTAAGGACACGCAGATACAGCTGATAAGACCGATATCTGTGCCGTCGGACTTGCACAATATCTAAGTGAGCGAGGTAATTGAGGTGTTTTCGTTCAAAGGTAGAACATGGGAAGAAGTCATGCACCCAGCACCATGCAGCGCTGCAACACACTCGATTCCGAAACTGGGCCACACTCCATGGAGTCGTGTCTTACCTTCACGCTTGTCATTCCGCAGCACTTTGACCTTCTCAATCTTCTCCAGCATAATTCCATCCTCAGCTGAAACAGACATGACAATAAGGTCAGAAAAGAAGTAGCGAATGATATTCATTGACATCGTATATCCGCGATAAGCTGCGAAAACATTCCCAAGACAGTGTAGTTTTGATGAGACACCCCACAGTCTGCGGAGTAACTGCTGTGCCACTTGCCAGCCAATGATATTACACAACTAGACCATCTCAGTGTCTGCCGTCGCCAGCTCTCGTCCTTTTTCACATTTGCCACCGAACACACCGCCACCGATCCGAAGAGCGCGCGCCACCGGCTAAACGCGGATACAATGGCCGTAAAATTACGTCGGCCTAATAGCTCGGGCGCGGGCGGCTGCCAGCCTGCAGGATCGAGTGCTCCCGCGGGCACGGCCGAGGACCGGTGCTCGCTCAAAGAAGAGTCCGACCGCACGGGACGGGACCGTGCTGCCCCGCACGGTCCCGCCCACCACCCACCACCTATCGCTCAGGGCCCTAGTGTCTACCGACCACAGCCGGGCAGGCAGTAGAGCACATACGGCCAGTCATTCACCGTCGTGTTTCCACGGCACCGCGGAGATGTGCTCCAAAGAGCGGGCCAACAGTTCCCTGGCGGCCCGCCGGCACCACATGTGTTCCAACTGTGCGGACTTCAGATGCTGCCACTGACAGGCACTGAGAGCCGAGTGGCTCCACCGCCCCCGGGCGCTTCTGCCAGTGGCAAACTTCGCCGCTGAAAAATCTGCAAAGGCGTCCCGGCCGCCAGATGCTACCGGCACGTTTTACATGCGGGGCATTCCACGTCAAATCAAACACCGAAATCCGTCATCCCCTTCGATTTTTCTGAAAATTTGTAGGCAGACTGGGCATGGTTCAAAACTGAGTTACGTATAATATTTTCGAAATTTGATAACGTATCGCTAAGATATAGGTCATCGAATATAGCGAAAAATGCCACACATCAATTTTTTAAATGGCTATAACTCTGGTTCCTTTTCTGGTATCAAAATGATATTAACAGGGGCTTATAGGCAATTGATAAGGCTTTGATTTTTAATTGTAAAATTAAATTGAAGTGACCTTGAAATGCATTTGACCTTGAATTAAAACAGAAAAATTTAAATAGCAAAAAACACGTCACCTTCGATTTGGGTAATTTTTACATATTATGTCCGTCACAATGTTCCTAACCATCTGTGAAAAAATTGGAGTGGGCCATTCATAACTTTTGCGGCAAACGCCGTTTTCATGCATCAACATCACGCAACCGCGCGTGACCTTGAAAGACAGAGTCGAGACATGCTTGCTTGTGTACACTTTCTGAAATGAATGATTGCTGATTAGTGATATCCCAAACTCTACGAGAATGGAAATGCATAGTCATCGTAGTCAAGCATTCACGTTCCATAGTAAAGGTGTCTCAGGCAAACGGTATTTTGCGGTGAATTTTGAGCCGTGTGGAAATGCATCATGAAGTAAATTCAACGAAAACATTATCACGCAACGATATCTTCACGTCTTTTGATCTTCACTATACGAAAGAACATACATTGTTTTGTATGTATGGGGAATTTCTAGTTAATCCAATAATAAATATGGCAGTTAGAGGCCTGCTAAGAGTAACATGTCGCCGGCTGAGGCGGGCTCGGCCGATGCGGGAAACGCAGCAATCACAATTTTGTGTTTACATGTTCATATTTTAATTGTTTACCAACCTATTTTTAAAATTCTTTCACCATAAGATTGCCTGTACATTTCTTAGTCTTCTCACAAAATTTGACGCGAATCGAACGTAATCAGCGGTAGGGAGCGCGATGTAAAGACGGAACCGTTCCGTTCCGTCCCGGCACAGTCTACAATTCAGGCGGCGCGTAGCGGTCGGCGCCAGCTGCCGAGTCGCCGCGTCGCTGCGGCGACAGGATGTTCACTTTACACCGCTATTACTAGAACAGTTGTGAACCGATTTTCTTATTGCTTGCACGATGAGATGTCCAATTCAATTCTTGACAGGTAGCCATAATAAATTTCGCATTAATCTTATGAGATATTGGCGAAAAACAGGAGGGGTGGGCGAAATTCGCTCTTCCCCCTCCACTGCGCGTGCTAACATACGTTTACATATGTGCAATTTTCTTCAAAACTTATGAATGGCCCACTCCAATTTTTTCACAGGTTGTTAAGAATATGGTAAGCAATAAAATATATGAAAATGAGCCAAATCGAAGGTGACGTGTTTTTTGCTATTTCAATATTTGTGCTTAAAAACAGAGTTAAGCAAATTTCAAGGTCATATATTTAAGTAGGTGCAATTCTAAACAAATGCTTAAGAAATTACCTAAACAGTAAGGTTTATTTCATTCAAATCAAACAAGTACAACCAAAGTTATGGTCGTTCTAAAATATAAAGATGCAACATTTTGTAAAAATTTGATGCCCTATATTTAGAAGACCTGTGGTCAGAATGTGCAAAAAACATCAATGTAATGTCCGGGGCCACACAGGAACTCGCTCACAAATTTATAATGAAATCGCTGATGGTAAGGTGCAAAACAGCCGATTTTTGTTCGATTTGACGTGGAATGCCCCATGCGTGGTGCCCTGCAATGCAGCACGTCTGCAGTGACTTTACCGTCCAGCATAAACGGACTACCAGACCAGACCACTGAGAAGATAAGGTCTGGGAATGCACAGCGTGGTCCACCACGCTGGTGTATGGCCAGGAGTTTTAGCGCGATAGTTTGTTGACAAGATGCCGCCCGGTGGTTAAAGTTATAGTACCCTGCTGGACACGTCCCTAGCTGGCTTTGGAACAATGAATAGGATGATAACAAAACATGTGCCGAAATTCTGCCCGTCACAAAGGAAATTTCAATGAGTTTTCTGTCTAAAAATGGAGCGCTCTTATTTCGTTCGGAGAATAATGCATAACATCTTAATCCGTGCTTAAGATCTTTGACACGCTTAATCCGACAAACAGGTTTTGTTCAGATCCTCGCCATTGTTAGATGCACGCGATTCGGGACTCTATAGTCCCTGCACGATACCACAAAACACAATAAGTACCGAAGATCGTCTGCAAATGCATAGAAATCCAGATCGCTTTGTTTTCAGGCACAACGCTGAGTGCATGAAGTACGACAATACTTCTTACCAAACACTCTGCGGTAACCAATCCTCGGCATACGTCTATCACACGCAATAGCCACCATTCATCGGCATCGCATGTGCCGCCGAAAGGCAGTTTGTCCTCGCACGGGCGCGTGACCTACCACGGCCGAGTGTGCCAATCAATCACTAGCAGACAGTGACTGGCTCGGCCACGTGTCACTCGTATCCCCCAGTGACCCGGCAGGTCAATGAGACAGCGCCCGGCGCACGGCGCATTAGGGCAGTGACCGGTGCTAACGCTAAATCAGGCAACGGTAGCCGCTCGGGCGTTTAAGCCGCCGCCCACCGGGCCAATTTGGGCACGAGCTGCGCCGGTCGGGCGGATCGATGTGTCGGTACTGCACCGGTCCCCTGCGGGCGGCCGGCACTGCACACGGGCACCTGTTGTACGAGTCCGTGGCCGTTATAGAGGCTAAATATGCACCGGTGCACCGCCGGTCACTGCTAACGCTGACAGGCTCATACCGTCCAGGGATTCAACTCATCGCTGAACTATTTCGGGTCTGATTGGTGCCATAAAACTTGTCACCGACAATTATGCATGGATTCAAGTTGGACAGATATTTTCAGCCCAAAGTGCACCATGAAAAGGTTGAAAAGACGATCAGCGAGCGGCTTTAAATTAAATATATGTAGCCCGGTAAATTGAATCCGCTTAATTTCCTGCCTTGAAATACGAGCTCGGACATTACGGTCAAATGAAGCAATGAAACCAATGCTGGTGGATTTCAGCAAAGCCACCTGAGACAGCCCAAAATGACTATTGAACGCACGACATCTTAGGCTCTCTTATAAGCCAATACCTTTTCTAAAATATTGGGTGTAAATTTCATTAGTTGAACTCACGCGCAGTAGCTAAGGACTAACAGTTTTAGGCCGTATGGCCATGAGGACATAAAACATTCTAACAAATAGCCAAAGTTTGATTGGGGTGATCGAGTAGGTCCGTGACTGTTAGCACGCCTCTGTTAATGTTTACGGTATTCACGGTCCTGTTAACGTTACTCACGGCTCTATTCACGAGCTTCACGGCACTATTCACGATGTCCACGGCCCTATTCACGATCTTCACAGCTCTGTTCACGGTACTGTTCACGACAATCACGGCCCTGTTCACGGTCATCACGATCAACTCACGGTTATCGCTGAAGTCGTCCACCAGGATGATCTCCTTGATCAGGTGTTCCGGGCTGCGGTTCAGCACGCTGCAACAATACAGTCAGCGTCAAAACAGTAAGCAACGGCACAGCAACATCGGCGGAGGGCACACATCAAAGCACATAGTGGTTCGACAGTAAAAAATATACAGTGTTTTGTTTTAGTCAAAATGAAATACGATTACTGTGCTTGTGCACAGAAGCATCTGTAACGTATCGTTTAATCGTTAATAACAACGTACATGATTGTCGGACAAGAGAAACTAACCACATACACAAGAAAAAACCGAAGCCAGTCTTGCAGGCGACATAGTCAATGCTGCTAGCCGCCTCCTAAGTCAGTTAAAACTAGGACGCGTTTACGGGAAATGTTGCTTTGCCTGTCTGGACTGAACAAATGCGCCCTCTGCATTATTCTACCTACCCATTGTGCTAACGGACAGCATAAAACTAACAAAAACGGATATATTATCCGTTAAAAACGGGATGGTGGAGCCGCATAACTGCAAACCAGAAATGCTGTTCGATTTCCTGAAGCCCCGTCGACCGGATGATGGCCGGAAAATTGGCCTACCATCGGCAGCGGTGAATCATGGAGAGCCGGGAGGACGTCTGCCGTGAGACGGTTGGCAACAGCGAGCGGCAGCTTAGTCGTGACGGCCGAGGAGACGTCATTGAGCAGGAGCTCTCAGGGAGTGGCAGACCGCACCCAGTCAGACGCCCCACTTCTGTCTCTTTTGCCTACTGTCTTTCCCACTTGTCTGCCTGTCTACTGGGGTACTCTTCAAACTCCATCCTGTTTGTGGTAAACACCGTTACAAGACTAGTCTGCCCGGAAACGGCAAAAAAAAAAAAAAAAACGCGGAAATAAGTTCAGGACCTGAGCACCAACTCGCCAGTTCAATCGTGAGACACTGGTGCCTTATTTGGCAAAGGCTATTGTCGGCATTCAAAACAACAAAAGATAAAGACACGATGGGCTTTCTTTCCTCTAGCCTCTGTCGATTCGCCCTGACGATATAACTCCACAGGCTTGGGTGCATACTCGAGATATCAGTCCATCAAAAATATATCCAATATAGGGCTTACTACAGAGGGGAGGTCCAAAACACACTTTGACGAAACGAACGATACAGCAGCTGATGCCGCCACCACCGCATGCTCAGTGTCTCCGGCTCATCTACCGCCGCCGCCTACGCTTTTCTCTTATAAAATCCCCGAACGCCTGAGAAAAACGATCAGTAACCACAGCGGCCTGGACAGGCTTAACCCTCGCCCGCACATGGGGGGGGGGGGTTGCCACCCTCCCCCCAGGTAGTCTTTCTGCTCTGCACTCAACATTTTTAGAGCTAGAAGGCTGGTTTTTCGTATAGCTGCTCCTCTATCCTTTCTTGATGTCCACTGAAAATTTCAAGTTTCTGTGATTTTTGGTTTCGGAGATACGACCTTGTTTTTCAGGTCACGTCATGACCCAAATGGCCAATTCTCAACATCTTGCGTTTGCCATGGGCCTTGTGAGCTTTTGACACCCTGATTTCGGCCTTTTTTGCCAGTCTTACCTCCCACCTATCATGGAACATGTTGTTCGACGATGTACAGGGGTCAAGGTCAGGGTCAAGGTCAACCTAGGTCATCTAAGATAATTGCGTTTTAGGCAAGCTGAATTTACTTTTTTGAAGTTTTTTTTACTGCATTTTCGGTAAAAGCTTCTCAGATCATGATTTCATGTAATATGGACCCAAAAACAATCGGTGCACACATCAGTATACACACAGACACACACAGACATACAAACACATATAATTGACCTTGACCTATCACCTAACTTGACCTGAAATGACCTCAGCAGCAAAAATCTGGTCGGGTAGTGTGACACAGAGGTTCTAGCTGGCTTGGCACCAGAAAACAGCATCGTCATCGGTATTTGATAAGCAGCGCACTTGATATCCAACGGTGACCCAAAACAGCAACATTTTTTAGTTTGACCTGACCTGGAAGGTCAATGACTGACCTGAGAAGGTAAAACTGGGTATCATTGGATTCGTCTCTTCCCAAAGAATCTTTTTGGTCTTTACCGCTAAGCTCTATCTCCAACAGGAACGAAATGGCGCGGGGGGTGGCAACCACCCCCCGTGCGTTCTAGGATGGGAAAATGGCATGTGCGGGCGAGGGTTAAGATCAGCTCAGAGCGGTCTGAACAGGCCCTAAGTTAGCCGGGAAGTTACCGAAGGCGGCTAACCCGGGTGACGTCTGGGCGGCCCGGCACGGAGCAGCACTCCCCATCGGGTAGGTACCGAGAACAGTGGGTGGAGGCGGGCAGAACCCGTCTCGTCGGGGATTTAAAAACTGGTTAGTATTCTGCACATACCAGAGCGGAGTTTGCACTTTAACAACACCGCGCTAACTTGTGGGATAACCGCCACCGACGCTGTGAAAAGGTACACCTGCTGGAAGTGTAGAGTCAAACACCCGCCCAAATAATCAGTTGGTCTAGAATTAGCGCTGAAGAGTTGCTCAGTATGAAATAGAACTACTGTACTATCCACTAAATAAATCGCGCAACACCGCTATAACCCAGCTTCTGTACCGCCGCGCCAGCCCAGTGGAGGACTGACTCCACCATCTGCCGCCTGCGACCGTCCGAGACGCACCTCATTTACATACGAACGCTACTTTCTCCGCGGCGTGCGGCCGCCCTTCCTGAGTACACCGGCAGTCGTCCCCGCCTACAGACGACGCCTCGGCCCCCGCGCCGCCCTCGGATAGTCCTGTTGAGCTGTGGGCCACTCACTAGCCACACATATCTCAGTTGGGACGGTCGGTCATGGGTCGCACGGTCCCACCCCAGACGGATGCGGAGGGATGAATGGACGCGCTCGGCCGTGGGCCTGATTCAGCACCGGGCGGCGCCCAGCGGATCACATTAGCCACAACATCGCCACGGGTGTGATCAGCCGCCGCGAGACGCAGTGTTTGTGTCAGCATTAGCGGTGTAGCATTTCCAAAAAGAGTTACCGACACAACAGCGACTTTGGAGACAAATATCTCGATGTTCGGGACGCCCACAAGGCATGAATCGCCGAGCATAATTTGAACTTTTTTAAAAGTAAAATAGCAAAAATAGTAACCGCTGCCGGAAGAGCTGTCTCCACTAAGCCTGTCTTGGATCTCAGACGGTCTCCGGTATACCTACACCGTTACCTCTGACAGTGACCCCAGTGACCTACCGGTGACCCCGCCTCACCTGACGACAGTCCTGAGCAGCGTGGAGCGCGCCTCGTTGTGGAAAGTGATGATGACACTGGTGGCCGGCAGATCCTGCCGCCATATCCGCTGCTGACATCTGAAGGGACATAACGGGTCAGGTTAGATCAAAAAGAGCACACAGTAGGGTCTTAGACGTGGTCATAATACACATCAGTTTACATTCTTAGTATGCAAGTCACAAGTTCACGGAATAGTGTGGCTAGGTGAACTTGGATGAGCCCTAGTTCAGGAAGACCAGGATTTACCAAACTGGACAAAGGAGAGCCCATCCTAGAGATAATCGCTGGGGCTGATCAGGATTCAGGATGCCGGGATTTTAGACATGTGCCAGACTAGCTAAGCTGTGTTGTGAAGTGGATCGGCTGGATCTAGATTCTCATGCAACCTATGTATCGTAACAGAAGCCCGTTTTTTAATAGAAGATACGCATGTGATTCGGCGCTTTCGCCAGCAAGGCGTAATAACACTCGCAAAGAAATATTAATTTATTGCTCATCAATGATGAGAAGTGGATGAATCCAGCTATAGAACACGTAGAACACGTGGAGCACAGTTGCAAAAATCACCAATCAGTATGAATGCAATGAAATAAGGCTCAAGGTCTGAACAGTTCGAAGTAGAAACAATGAAATCTGAATCATTGTAACGACACCGTGCGATGAGCAGCCGGCGATAAAAATGGAACAATAGTGATCAATCATGTCACGCCAGCACCGGACAACGGTGGAACCATTGCATACATGTGTTGCACAGGCACGTGGCACCCAGCTGTTCCGACCGGTCGACCCAGTCCCGGCACCACGCCCTCAGCAGCGGTGACGCAACCCCTCCCCCGAGCCACCCATCACCCTTCAGAGAGCGGCCGTGAAGGCCGTGCAGCCCATCGCGCCGGTCGGCCGCCGGCCCCAGGGCAGAACCCGGCGGCATAGACGTGCCTCTGTACCTCCCCTGCTGAGAGCCTCGCCCCTTCCCTCTCCACTGACTGGGAGACTCAACTGGGACACGCCCCGGCCCAAGGTCACTGGAACGACGACAACACGTGACGTCATCAGCATCCCGAGTAGTCTTCCCAGAACTGCAGAGAGAGGTGTATTGATTCGGTTGGAAGCCGACATTGAGGTTTGTCAAACACCGTGATCAGCAGTCAGCACCGTCAGCACACCTTATCATCACTATCCTTGCAGCGTAAGTCCTTGTATTGCACTTTGACCCGAAATAAATGTATTTATGTTGAGCCCCCGGGCATAACCGTAGCTGCCCAGTGGGACTGCTGATTGTTGAGGCCGGGACGGTGCAGGCGACTGGGCCGGGTGGGAGGGGGAATGACGAAGAAATGGGAGCTTACCGGTTATCCAGTGCCCAGGACATCGGACCCAGCCGCAGATCGGCAATCGAAGGAGGATCACAGGGGTGATAGGCAATTAAGGTAGAAACTACATTGGACGGAGAGCAATGATCCCCAAGTCTCCCAGAATATCCTGGCAGCTTTGAGGACATCAATGACCCTTTCATTCCCTTGTGCAAATCAGGCCTTCCATATGCAGAGTGTCTGTAGGACTGAATTCATGGCCACCTCCTATGTGACCGCCTCTGCCCTGCATACAAGACACATGACGTCATTATTACGTCACGCCGCACCCAATGACCAGGGCCAGAGTGCAGCCACCACCGTCCCCCACGGCTCTCGAAGCCGAGATCAAGTCATCGTTCTCCGTAGCTGTGGCGGCTGACCGCATCGAGCCGGACCCGTCTACAGCCTCCGGTGTGGAGTGTGGACAATGGAGAGAGCCATGGAGTCTGACCTAGAGAAGGGGAGAGGCTCTGGTGCTTGTGCACCGAACCGACCCTCCCCCTATGGACCCCCTCGGTCGACCCTGGACCTTGTGGCGGCTCGGCGACCGCCGTCTCGCGACACTGCACCAGAGCAGGGGCGTCCTTGACAGCTCCGCCGGCGGCCCGTCCCGTCCCTCTCCCTCCCTTCCCCGATCCCTCCCCGTCAGCTAGCGACCCCTCTCTCGTCCCACCCCTCCCAGATGACCGCCTGGAGGTCACACTACGGTCCGGTCAGCAGTGGCCGATCCACGGCCCGGGACCAACTGACCAGACGGGAGCGTCTTGATCAATCAGCACGCTAGGGACCGCCCGGGGTAGATCGGGCCCGGCCCGAGTCAGTGTGGTCCGGTGAAGCGTTGTCCGCCCGGGGTAGATCGGGCCCGGCCCGAGTCAGTGTGGTCCAGAGAAGCGTTGTGTCATTCCGGGAACGCCACGCCCGCGGGCACAGCGCTGACCGTCGCGTCGGAGGCAGACCCTCCCTGACCGGCCAGACAACCCTGCACCGGTCCACCTTGAGTGGTGCTCCACTTTCCCCGGAGGAGCGCCCCTCCCGCGGCGGCGACCGGGCGGCCGCGGCGGTACCCTCTGCCTGCCGCCCCCGGGCGCGTACCGATCCAGGCCGCGCAATGTCGGCTCAACGGCGCCGCCTCGCAGGTTACCTAACGGGCGGGGTGGTTATTTTCCCGTTCACGCGCCGCCACAGCGGTCGTGGCGCGTCTGCCCCGGACACACCGGTTCTTTTTCCTGCTCTGATAGCGCCGAGCACCGGGCCGGTATGCACATGGTGCGCGCACGGCGCTACTCGGGAGCTCACGAGGCGCACAGCTAGTATTTCAGGTGCGCGCGTGGAACTTGTGCAAGTCGCTGATAAGATGAGCAAGCACAGGAGCTGGCAGCGTGCCAGCGCGCGACCGGGTCACGAAACGCCACAGCGTTCCCAGTTCGCACGGCATTTACACCGGAATGCACAGCGCAATCCACGCTCACTTTCGTGGCTGCCCAAGGGCGGCCTGGCATCCACGGTGAGAAGACTCGGCCTCCGGACACGAGCTGTGTCCGGACACGCGCGGACAGTGTCCACAGACGGTCAAAGGAGGGCCGTCTATGACTGACGCCATTAGACAAGGTCACGGACGCTAACTTTCACCGGTACGCCGATACCGTCTATACACGCTCAGGGGAAGCGGCGCGGTGCTGAATACTGAGTCAGGCGTGCGGAGAGGCTTTCGTCCAATATAGAAAAGAAGCATACATATAAAAACAAGCAAACAGAAAAGAAGCAAACATATAAAAAACCTAAACATAACCACCATGAAGGGAACGGAGACCGCTTTTAATCAATAATTCACAAAATGCCTGCAGACGTTATGTTGAAATGAAACGTACTGAGAGGGTTCAATCCCCGTTTCCCTTGATGGCGGAGCTCGCGGATTCCCTGTGAAGCTTACAGCTCATATTGCGCCGTAAAAGAACAATGCTTGGATTATTCATAAATTGGAATTGTCACTTTGTCATCTTCAAACATTTTAAGAACTGGCTGTCACCCCACAAACCAAAGACGCAGCTTGGAGGTGTAGTGGTCGGATTAGTATTGGACTCAATTACAAAAAGGACCTAACTGCAAGGCCTGAGTTTTACATGCTTTAGCTCAAACTATTTATGGCAGTCGCAACAAGATCTTGTTTATTGAGGAGACATTTGGGCTTCAGATTGTGGCCACGGGACTAAAATAAAATAAAACCGTCGGTAGTTGAGTTTGTAGTCACTACGGCTCACTCATGCTGAGCCCTGTTTTCAGTCCGGCCCGAGAGCAGCCGTGACCAGCGCACCCAACCGTATCGCCTCCTCCACCGCACGCAGAAGTAAAAACGTGTGAGACCGAGCACTCGTCTGCCTCAGTTGGAGAAGCGTGACGGTCAGTGGCCGCGGACATCACTAATGGCCAGACAGCCGGGAGTGAGACACCCAGAGACAAATACGGAAATAGACAGACGTCAACAACCAGTGCAGTGGCGGCACTACATAGTCATGATTTGTGTCTTATAGATATAGACAGGCAGCGATGGAATCAGACCGAACAGGCTCGCGAACCGAAGACTCGGCACATAACCGATGGGGTTAGGCAGTATGCAGACTGCGTGTCTTGTCAGCCTTTCAGACCATCTTGGGTGAAGGCGCGGCGGGCGGCCCATCTCCTAGACCACGTGAGCTGGACATCTGCGCCCTGGGAGATACCTCGGGACTACCACCATCTCGTCATCCCATCTGCCGGCAGCTGATGCCTAGTGCCCACAGACGGGCGGATACAGCCGATAAGCGCAGAGCCGGGGCTGGGCCGACCGGCGCGGCGCGTACCATATGTCTCAGCTCCCAGCGGGCGACCACACGGCGTAGCGACGTTACCCACAGGGGCGGCGGGTCCGCCTCCCGTGTCACCGGCGCGACGACTGTTAGATTGGTGGATAAACGTGTATCAGCAGCGTTCCCGACCGCGACAGACGCGAGATACCACCACTGCACCGCCGCGCCGCCGCTATCGATGACGTTATTCAAGGCACGCCCGGCAGCGATACATCGCCACATGAAAATCGAGAGCCACAATGGACACAACGGCTACCGGAAATGATCTGGAAATCGGAATGGCTGTCGAGCATGAATGAGCTCCGCCCGAAATGGCGCCGCTGGATTTGTGGCGTTTCGACTGACGCGGCTTCGTGTCACCCGAAGAATAGTGGGAGTTCATTGGGCATTGGAGCGGACCTAATAGCGGTGGCTGCGGTCCCCAGCGGCTGTGGTATGGAGCGGCAGCTGCGGTCAGGAGCGGCTGTGGTCCACAGCGCGGTCCAGAATGACCGTGGACCAGGGCGGTCGTGGTCCAGTGTGATCGAGGTCTGGAGAACTGATGCGGAGCGCTGGTACGGAGAACTGGTCCAGAACGGACTGTGGCCCAGGCGGCTATGGTCCACAGCACTGGTCCGATCGCCCACGCGTCGCCGCCGGGCCACTCTACCGCAGCCGGCCGACCCGATATACCCGTGTCGACCGCGGCAGGAGCCAATAACCGAGCCGCAAATTATGGCGGAGCGCCGCCGGTGGACGGCGACGGCTCCCAGTTGGCTCTACTCGTCCGAGGAAACTGTTCTCTTCGGGAGTACCGGCGCCGGCCTGGGGCCGTCGCCGAAAAACGGCGCCGTGCGAGGGTCGCAGATGTGATATAAAGTATGGGTCGCACTGCGATAGGAC